TGTAGTATAATTAAAGAAGCAGAAGACAAATATACAGAACACCAAGTTCAAATGGTAACAAACAATTAAATAGTCACATAAAGGACTTGCTGAAATTCATTCATCTCACTTCTGCTGTAGATAAACATGATTTATTTTGCCTGAATGTTTTGTTGAAAAACGTCCACAAAATGAGCTAATCATTTGACGCTAAAATAACTTTTTGAAAATATTTCAGTGACTGTTAACCAACCATTATTTGCCTCATCTTTTATTCGCGATTCGACTGTTAAAAATCAATCAACGACTGAGGAAACATTACATGTATGTACGAATACAAGGGAACATAAATTGTTCGGTGCAATTTATATTTGCGAATAAAGGTAGGTCGCAAACCTTGTGGATATTTCTCACGAGCGAATAGAGTTTTGTTTTTAGAATCATTCTATTAATTAATTCGATTCATGGAGTGGATATACATGTGTATGTATGTTGCTCACCTGATATCTGTGTCCTCCACGTGCTGTAATCACCAACTGGAAGAAAAAATGGTACATGAATAACCAAGAAATAAATCAATATAACATTCAATAGTCTATCTTATAAGTCTAAAATCAACTCAACTACCTTAACGTTTGAAGTAGACATAGAATCTAGCTAAATAAAGAAAGGAAGCAAAATACCTATACGTTATATAATTCTTCTTGATATCTTGTACTGAGTTCATTTGGTTTTGTTTTAGTAAGAATAATGTTTATGCATACATTTATTTGTCATAAAAATATGATATGGGATGCGTAATAGTCCTAAGAATGAAATCAAAAACATTCGTGAATATCCTCAATATCGTCAATATTTTGCACAGTCTACAGCAAGATGCTGAACCTTACATGTAACCCTAGAGAGCGGTGATCATGATATGTAAAATTTTCCCTCTTTATCATTTGATTAACCAGAAAAACACACATTAAATTTTAGTTTATTTCAGTTAAACAGAAACACTTACATATCTTTCAACATTTTTAGAATACGTACTACCCGAAATTCCAGGGCGCTTAAAATATGTGAAATGAAATCTTGAAAAATAAAAAAAATCAGACCTGAAGATGTTAAGCATTTACGTTATGTATTTATGCCTTTCTAAGGCAGCAAGGTCACCTGCATATATGGTTTTTATTGATTCAATATGCCAGCGGATGTTCTACGTAAAACTACGTAAGATACTACGTATGATTTAATTCTTAATTAAAACAAGCTATTGACAAATAAGATAAGAAAGTGTTTTGCATATTTTATTATTTGATTTCCTGCACATTCCTCATAAAATGTTGATTCCTAATTGATACCGCATGGAAATCCTTTTAATAAACTCTAACATACATTTTCCCATTTGTCGACCTCCACTGACCTATTGTGATTATACATGTAATTTGGGTACTGATTTGAATATACATTCACTTTATATAAAATTTACATAAAACTATAGATTTAAGCAGAACATTCCTATTCTCAAATCGATTAAACAACTTTCTTTATCATTATCATTGTAAAACTGTTTATCTTCTATTGTGGCTCTATTCTCTTTCAGTTGCAGAAGTTTATCATGCAGAAAATCATATTTCAAGAGGGAAATAACCACCTAACAATTGACACGGAAAACATATGTGAAACATACAGCAAGACAATGAGAACTATATGAGAAGGATATGGAGATAACGAACAGTATTCAACATTAAAGTCCATAAAACAATACAATGATAGGAGCAGAGCAAACTCTGACCTCCGAAACATCTGAGATAGGATCAGGTGCCATGGAAGAGTGAGCATCCCCTGTTGAGCGGTCACACCCGCAGTGTTCTCCTTGTCATGATCGAGAAATATCGGGACAATCCGTCGTCAATTCAGTATATAAATAATAAACTAACAATTAGTATAAAAAACATATGTCATAATTTGACTCAATGATGAATTGCATTTGTTGATAAGGTCATTGTGTCCACCTTAGAACTTTGAAAACTTCAAACGAGCTTGCTAGTATTCTTGTTTCATCACCTTGCTTGTCAATAATTTACCTCGTTCTAGAAATTGTTCATGTGTAGAGCATGCTCTTGCGTATCGAATCAATTGAGATATATTTACACCGCATGCAGGTGATGGAGATATATTACAGCATATGTAAGGGAAGTTATCATATACCTTTGTTGTTAGATTACCATTAATGTCTTTTTCAAGTAAACTATCTAAGTATAAAATAGATCTGTCAGTCCCTGTGGTAACTTTTATCTCAAGCTCACCAGCATAATTATATCATATCGATGTAGGAATGAAATTGTTAATTGACAATACGTCGTCGATATATCTAAATGTTGAGTTAAGGCACGAGAGGGGCAATCTTGCGAGAAGCCTCTTATTGAATGATTAAGTATATTTTGTTTGAGGTCCCTCTCGATACGTTTTCACTAAATGGAGACGCCACAACTTGCCGATGAAAATCTGCAATTTTTTTATTTTTTTCGGCACTTGGTACCATTGAGATGGGAAGGATATTTCTTGTACCAGTACCTACTGCAACACGGAATCTCGGTTTATACGGTCTCATCCGAAGAACTGCTCTACACATCCCCATAGAGGAATTAGAACCCCTAACGTAAGGATGTACTTCTTACTTAACGATTCTAGAGCAGACGGTCTAACCACTGCGCCTCGCTGGCAATTCGTCAAACGTTTCTTAATTATCACTCGGTTTACTTTTTTGAATGTCATTCATATTCTACAGTAAGTCTGTACAGGACCAGCTAGCTTAGCAATATACTGTTGTCAGAAATTTGGGTTTATTATACATATTACTAGTTAAACATATTTTTGACAGAAGCCTGTTGATAAATCTTTTCTGAAAAAATAGCATTATTTTAAACAAAAAATAAAGTTTTTGGACATTTTCAAAATGTTGTTTAACCTATGAACTGAACAGAAGACAGGGGACCTTCCACCATTATATTTATTACTGTTATATTCCTCTTTAAGGTTTCGTCAAAGGTCAACATGTTGAAAAATTTATTTTTACAAAAGTCCCAAAACTATATGAGGTATAAAGTTAAACCTTTTACATTTAATCAATTTTTAATTGATTAACAGATAGAACGTATCACTTGATAAAAAAATACTTGGAAAAAAAATAGTAATTGAGAAAAAGTCTTCTTAAAAAAGCATATATTTAAAAAAAAATACACCTATTTAATTCCATGCTCTTGTTGAAAACCATTATTGCAGAAACAAAATATGTTAATCAATGAAGGGCAAGTTGGACTTAGGTTGTCTATGGAAAGTTGTTTTTCCTGTTTATTTTGTCCAAATGTTAAGACTTGAAAGTGAAAGTTCCTTGCAAATGGCAGGTTCTAAAGGGGTCTTGTCTTTTGCATGTCATGCTTTCAATAACAGCCTTTCAGAGACAATTCAAGTCCAACTTGCCCTTCAATGATAAAGATATATTATTTCTGCAATGATGATTTTCACAAAAAGGACAGAATAAAGCAGGTGTTTTTTTTTTTAAAATATGCACATTTTCTGATACACTTTTTTTCCAAAAATTTTTTTTTTATAAATATTTGTTATCAAGTGATACTTTCTGATACTTTCTGTCTATTAATCAATGATATATTTATACACTGTAAACGTTTTGACTTTATACCAGACATATTTTTGGATCTATTGCAATAATAATTTTTTAGACATGTTGACATTTGAGGAAACCTTAACATTTTATGCTCTTAAAAAATGAAAGAGCTATAACACAAGATGCACTTTAAGTAAAATTATTAATTTCACCATATTTTCGGTACATATATATGATGTTAAAAATTAACTTTTAAATAACAGGTTTTTAATTGCTGTGAAACACGCGTAATTGTTAGAAAAACGTTGTAGTATAAATATATAATCAAAGTTGTCGTAAGATAGGTATGCTTATTCTTTTTTCGAGAAACAAAAAACATTAAAATAATATGAAATTTATAAGAAAATATGCTGACTTATAAATGATATAAACAACCGCAACATTAATATATATTTTTCCATTCCAAGGCAGTTCCATGTAAAATATAGTTAAAACAATGCTAAAGTATGTGGACGTATTGCATAAATACACTCGTATTTTAAATTTCAATGCAAGACTAAAATACATCTGTGTGTAATTTTTTTTATGAAGATATCAAGAAGACAGCTATATGTATCCGTAGACATGTCCCGACCATGATTTTACTCGGACAAGATGAGAGGAATCAATTTTGTCTATAAATGATACTATCATTTTTCTCTATTTGCTTAAAAAGCACTACATGTACATCTCTCAATTGAACAAAGAAAATCAAACTTCAACCATAAGTAACCAATGGTATCGGAACTACATTTGTGCATTCATTAGTTGTTGATTCTGTAAATACAACATCATGTACAATAAATGCACACACACACACACACACACACCCACACACCCTTACACCATTCCTTTTTACGAGTATCTTCAATGTTATAAAAAGTTTTTGAATCCAAAAACAATATAGAAATAAACAATGTGAAACAAGGATCTTGTATATCAGTGCTTTTCATTGATAAGCTGAATACAAATAATTAGACTTAAATAAAAAGAAAATATTTTTAAAGAAAACAAAAAATATAACGTTAGTTGATTTTGGAACCCTTTGGAAAGTGAATTTCAGTTCTCTTTCAGCATTGCAGAAACCATATGGAATCGTAATAAATAGTTTCCGGAAACTGAAATCTACTGACGCAAAAAATATTGTAACATTGAAGTTTGAAATTAATTAATTTTCATTTGGTTTATGGCTTGCATTGCAAAAATCATACAGGAATGGTTCATGAAGGTTTCCATACAGTTTTATTTTATGGGAACTGGACTTCTTATCCAGTATATTCAAGATAGCTAAAGCTAATATTAGACTGAAATAAAAGAGGTGCCAATGTACATGAACTCTTACTTTTCAGTATTCGAAGAAGCTCGAACTTCCTTTCTCTTCTAGATTTACTATCCCTTAGGATCCCATGCTCCCCCTCCTCTGATTCTCTACTGACACCAGCCTCTGTGACATCATTCTCCCTCTCCTGCACTTCACCTTTGACATCAGTCTCTGTGACATCATGATCCCACTTCTGCAGTTCACTATTGACATCAGTTTCTGTGACATCATTCTCCCTCTCCTGCACTTCACCATTGACATCAGTCTCTGTGACATCATTCTCCCTCTCCTGCACTTCACCTTTGACATCAGCCTCTGTGACATCATGATCCCTCTCCTGCACTTCACCATTGACATCAGTCTCTGTGACATCATTCCCCCTCTCCTGCAGTTTACAATTGACATCAGTCTCTGTGACATCTTTCCCCTCTCCTGCAGTTCACCATTAACATCAGTCTCTGAAATACTATGGTCCTTTTCTTCTGAGTCACTATGAATATCACTTTCTGATATACTATACTCCGCTTCCACTGGTTCACAGTTGACACCAGCCGCTGTAATACCATATTTCTTATCATTTGGTTCATTAAGGACTCGAGTTTTAAGTATCACCAATGTCAACTTCATCTCCCATTGTTTCACTACTAACGCAAACCTCTGGGATATAATGTTTTATTTCTTCATTTTGACCACCTTCATCAATCTCCGTGATATCATTTTCGCTCTCGTTTTGTTTACTACTGGTGCCTGCTTCATCTCCCTTTGTAGCCCCTATGAGAAGATTATTTCAATCAAATCATTGTTTCTGTTGTTGGTTAATTTATTTTTATTGTTATCTTATCGATTTCAGATGCAGTGGGATATTTAGTCCACAGCTGCAGGTAAAACATGTTTTAACTGCAACTATGGACTACACATTCCACTAGATTTTTTTTCTTTACTCTAACATTACATCAAATGAAAATTTATTTAAAAAAAAATAATAAAATATTCAAGATACCTTGGACAACTTTCTCCTCTGTTTGCGTCAATAAGTTTTCTTTTTCAGCTGAAATATGGAAATATTATCAATAATTGGCTGGATAATACTTCATTTTCAAGCGTTAATATATTGGTGTTCATTTAAAAATTTGCGAGACGTTTTTTATTTCTTTTGTTTTTTTAAGTTGAGACAATTTTCTGTATTTGAAAACAAACTATTAATCAGACTGATTAGTAAACTCTTGAATACATGTAAGGCATAATAGAACAACATACTCAAAAATTCCTTTCTTTCTTTACTTTTCAGTTTTTGCATTCTCTTCCATACAACCCTCAAAATTATTAACAGCAGTATAAGACCCAGTACAGCAACAACAATGCCCATAATTGCCCCGATATGTGCTGAGTCATCTTCTTGGAATTTGGTTGTATGAATATTCATTGCTGTTGTGTTGTATATTACATGATTTGTTGTGGACTTGGGGATAAATTTTTCCTCTGTTTCTTCAGTAGATATATCCCATGTCCTTTTTGGGGAAAAATAATTTTGTTAGAAACTCCTTAATACATGCAGAATGATTTTTATTTCAAACCAATAAATACACTATTACTTACGCGTTTGCACAATATGGATCAGCAAGAAAACAACGATGTTCTGTACTAATGTTTTGACAAGCAGGGTCTGATGTAAATCATAATAAATAAGAACTAAATTAAATCAAATATCAAAGTCATATTTTTCATAAGTCTAACGATGTCGGTATAATTTTTTTATAGAAAAAAAAATTGGTCCTTACATTTGTAGATTTCGTTACTGCGAAGTCTACATCCGGGCAGCCAGAAACAAAATTGGAACATTTGTGTGTAAAAATTTTACTCTCTGCAGTTTTCAAACAATTACCTGAAAAGTATTCATAGATAATAGATTTAAACATTTGAAGAATTTTAAACATAAGGATCAACTCTAATCGTTGTCAAACACTGGCTTAGATTTTGCTTGCTGAAAGAGCAAGTTAACAATATGCTTAAAAATTAAATGACTGTTGGTATAAAAAAAACAACATATACATGTATATTTAATGACGCCCTCATTAAATATGTAAGATTCAAACATCAATATGAATTATATATATATAGTACTTTCAGTTCTCATTTCAAAGTTCGATCTAATAGTCCAAAGATTGGAAATCACCATGTTAAAATGTAATGTCTTAAAATATGCAGATGTGATTTTGGGTACATTTGTTACAACGTACTTTGAAAAATTACGCACTTTGAAAATCATTTGGAAAGTGCGTTTAAGTCGGGACCAATTCAACGCACTTTGAAAAAATAAAATTTCTTTTCAAAGTGCGTTAATATCCACCATATTAACACACTTTGAGAAAAAAATGTGTCAATATATTTGCAAATCTTAAGTTTGATGAATAATTGAAACTGTTTGATAACTCGTCGGTGAAAAGGTCACCCCAGGTTGTGAAAGTAAGCGAATTTTAAATTTCCATACTTTAAATGTTTTCCTGTACTTATTTTTTTCATTATGCATGCATTTTATGTAAACTACAATTTACTGATTGTTTTCAAAGACATACCAGTTATGTAAACACATAAATTTGGGTGAAGAATAGGCATCGCTACCGGGAGGGGGAGGGAGGGCTTAGCCACACAAATGCTTTGCACAGATATGCATAATAATAGGCATTGAAAATTAGGCTTTACCTTAGGGCCCTTTGGGGTGTCCTATTTCAAATTGCTACCGACGTTTTGTATAATTTATAAGAAAAAACAATTTTGATGAGAGACCTTCTGCTTGTCTTCTACTTGTTTTCAATGAGGGTATGAGGTTATACTTCCCTTTCTAAGGAAGAAATTTCTTTAAAATGATATGTCAGTTTTAAATATTTTTATATTCCACAGAGCCAAAATGAATTTGAACTACCCTATATATATTGGATCGAAACTTCATAAAATCTTCACAAACAAAGATTCATTGCAGGTTCCGGTAAATGTTCAACCAAGCCTTTTTCGTTACTCCTCACTTAAATATTGTCAGTTGTGAGGGAAAAAACTTCAAGAGTACTTTGCAACAATATATTCAAGAAGTGGTTTGAATCAGATGTGAATACTCAAAAATTACAAAAAACTTTTGTACAATTTGAAATCACAAGATTTAACCAAAATCAACAGCTAAAAAAATTACGACTTTTCAACTTTGTACACAACCATTCCCCACAATATATTAAAGTCTAGGCTTTTCGATATCATTGACAGCTGCTTTTTTTTATTATTAAAAATGGAACTCGAAAATTTATTTATCTGGTCATTGGTCATTTGCAAAATTATTTCAAATTGTTAAAACACATTCTGATTGCAAACTCAAGTACTCTTGAGTTAACATCAAAGAGATGCTTGAGTTTCTGATTGACAATACCTATGTGGTTTTTGGAGACCAGGTATTCCAACAATCTATTGGAATTCCCATGGGTACCAATTGCGCTCCGTTATTAGCAGACATATTTTTATATTCATATGAAGCAGAAACTGTGCAAAATCCTATGCGTGTTTAGAAGAAAACACTTGCTGTGGCCTTCAACTCGACTTTTAGATATATCGACGTCGTATTGTCAATAAACAATGGTAATTTCCATTCCTACGTCGATACGATATATCCTAATGAGCTTGAGATAAAAGATACCACAGATTCTTACACACCTCTTTCATACTTGGATATTTTACTTGAAAAAGACGTTAATTGGCAATCTAACAATCAAGCTTATTGATAAATGTGATGACTTTAACTTTTCTATAGTCAACTTCCCTTACTTAATTATGCAGCGATATACCTTAATCCCCTGCATAAGGAGTATATATATCTCAGTTGATTCGACACACAAGAGTGTGTTGTACGTATGAACAATTTTTAAAACAAGGTAAATTATTGACATACAAGTTGATTAATCAAGAATATCAGCAGACTTGTTTAAAGTCATCATTTCGTATGTTTTACGGTCGATTCAATGACCTTGTCAACAAATACAATTTAACATTGAGTCAAATGCTGACTGGCGTTTTTCATACAGATTTTTTTCCGTTATTACCTGATCATGACAAGGAGCACACGGCGGGTGTGACCCGTCAGCAGCGGATGCTCACTCCTCAATGGCACCTGATCCCACCTCTGATGTCTCTAAGGTCCGTGTTTGCTCTGCTTCTATTTAGTATTGTTTTATGAACTTTGATATTGAATACTGTTCGTTATCTTCATATCTTTCTTGAAATATTCTTTCAAAGTTCGTATTTTTTTCAAAGTGCGTTCCCACATACGTTCAGCTACGAAATAAAAATATTACCACGCTCTTTGATCAAAAATATAGAACTTTATAATCAATAGAATTATATATAGTATTCTATATAATTGAACTTTGTGGATCATGTGTTTTACTTTATAAAAAACACAGAAAAATAAAATTTACGGTCATTTCAAAAGACGTTTCAGGATTTGAAAATGATACCAATTTTTTCATAATTTTTTTTTTTGTAAAAACAATTGTGAACAAGTGGCCCATGGGCCACATCGCTCACCTGACAAGCTTTGACCATTCTGTTCTTTACCAGATTTCCCCCTTTTAATACATATTGCGACCTCTCCCTACCCCACGGATCTTAATTTAGACATTTTGAAATCTACGCTACCCCAGGATGCTTCCATGTGCACATGAGTTTTAGCTTTTCTGGCCCTGTGGTTCTTGAGAAGAAGATTTTCAAAGATTTTCCTTTATATTTTTATGTAAAACTTTCATTCCCCATTGTGGCCCCGTCCTACCCCCGGGGGTCATGATTTGAACAATTTAGAATCTACACTACCCCAGGATGATTCCACTTAATTTTCAGCTTTTCTGGCCCAGTGGTTCTTGAGAAGATTTTCAAAGATTTTCCTGTATATTTTTATGTAAAACTTTCATTCCCCATTGTGGCCCCGCCCTACCCCCGGGGGTCATGATTTGAACAATTTAGGATCTACACTATCCCAGAATGCTTCCACATAAGTTTCAGCTTTTATGGCCCAGTGGTTCTTGAGGAGAAAATTTTCAAAGATTTTTTCCTATATATTTCAATGTAAAACATTTGAATCCCCATTGTGGCCCTGCCCTGACGCCAGGGGTCATGATTTCTACAATTTAGAATCTATACTATCCCAGGATGCTTCCACATAAGTTTCAGCTTTTCTGGCCCAGTGGTTCTTGAGAAGAAGAATTTCAATGTATAACTTTGATTCCCCATTCTGGTCCCGCCCTACCCCCGAGGGTCATGATTTGAACAATTTAGAATGTACACTACTGAAGGATGCTTCCACATAATTTTCAGCTTTTCTGGCCCAGTGGTTTTTGAGAAGAAGATTTTTTAATGACCCCACCCTATTTTTTTTCTTGATTATCTCCCTTTGTGAGAAGACTTGGCCCTTCATTTTAACAGTTTAAATTTCCTTTCACCAAGGGATGGATGCTTTGTACCAAGTTTGGTCAAAATTGGCCATGTGGTTCTTGAGAAGAAGTCGAAAATCTGAAAATTTACAGACAGACAGACGGATAGCTATACAGACGGACGGACCGCTAGATGGACGGACGACGGACAAAATGTGATCAGAAAAGCTCACTTAAGCCTTCGGTTCAGGTGAGATAAAAATAGTACATTGACCAGTGAGGAAAGTATGACATTTTCAATACAAAGATGTTTACATAAACCAAGCATCTACGGAATATTTACTGAATTTCCACTTAGAATAAGAAGATCAAAATTTTCAAAAAGGCCTTTGAATATCGCTCCTCAAATTTCGAGGTAAAATATTCTTACATTAAACAAGAAAACCTTTTCATCCATTTAATTCCGCTACTTTTCTAATTCATTAATAAAAGACACGCTGTAAATTTTTATTCGGGGGAATTTAAGAGATAAATAAGGCATACATTTGTAAGACCGTAGATAATATTTTCTCTTGATGGTATTTGTGTAGCTAAATTAATAGGATTTCCTAAAATAACACTCACCACTTTCTATTAAGCCCATGAAACCATCGTGACAGAATTCTACCAGACTTGTTGTCTCTAAGTTAGGGAGACACATATACTGGTCATTTCCATACTTGTCACGACCACAGCCCAGTCGTGCAGAGGCTTCCACTGTCTCTGTCAGGTTTCTGGGACAATCTTCGACTGTCTTGTCCATAGCTGTTGTAATAGCTACAAACAAATTCATAAACATAAAATGTATAGATATGATTGCGCCCATGGGAAAAGGGCCCTTATGGCAATTTTTATGCATTTTGAGATTTTCATGGATTTTGATAGAGTAAGGATAGAAGTTGTCAAATATGAATTTTTTTGGTCCTACGTCCACTCTAAGTAGATTTTTTCTTCATTTTTTTCAAAGATACTTTAATAGGTTCATATGACGTCATGTGTTTCAACAACGTCAAACGTTTTCAGAGTGAACGTAAATTATTTTCTTCTGCAATTTTACTACGGTAATTAATAGTTGTGTAATATTTAATATTTACCCTTGCACATTATTTTTACTCATTGTCTCTTTTAATTATTAATAATTCTTTAATAGCTATATATGTATTATGGATTCATCAGTGGTGTATAGAATTATGAGTGAGTGCTTGTTTTACATTTCACTTTTCTCTGACAGGAGGAGACCTGAGCAGCAGGCGACATCCATTCAGTTTTTTTTTCTTTTTGAACTATTATTTTCTCAAAAAAAAAAAATTTACTAGTAATCCATGCAAGAGTCAATTGATGAGCCTGCAGAATTCATAAGAAAATTATTCTAATTTAAACATTTCTCTCGATAGGTCGATATGAATTTTTTTTTGCCTGTATTCAGCATAAAACGATATATCTGAAGTTACCGTACATGTGAAAATTAATTTAAAAAATTATATCAGGAACAACAATACCTTACCTAAATGCTACTGTGAAGTGAAAATTTATCTGACCGTTCTTTTTTTCTAAATTTTATATAAAGACAGAAAAACTATGAAGTGTGATATCATGTTAATATTACGATATACAATAAACAGTAAATACAAGGGAAATTTGGTTGATTCACTGCAACTTTAAGGTTGTCTGTCTGCATAGGGTAAAAAATGACACTGCTGTTTGAAAAATATAAAGGATACAAGAAATATTTTTCGTTCTAGCAAAAAAAAAATATTTTCACATTTACCAGTCAAAAAGGTGGAAAGTTTATAAGCAAATAAATGAATTATAAACCGCACTCATTTACACAATAGGTTGTCAGACCAAGGATTAATATTGGTAGGATTAATATTATGCGTGTGTTGATGAGGGGGGGGGGGGGGTAAAAATCTAAATGGCAGAAACTTACAATTCTTGTGAACACCAGTTGAAATAATTAAATATATATTTTTTTACTTCCCAAGTTTTAGGTGCACATGCGGGGTGTCTCTCCTTCACTCAGTACCATTAACCCTACACTTTGTAAATTAACTTTTTTATTTAGGTTTGAAATAATGCTGCATATTACCGGGTATTCTTCATTTTATATTTGTACCTTGGCTTTAATTCTGAGAACTGCCATTTTAAAAATCGCACGGCGATCATGATCACTACGAGCCTGGAACTGAATTGCTATGAATTCAATCTTGTTCATTATGTATATAATGACACCCTAGATTAACGAAATCTTTTTTTTTAATTGGATGGTTTTAGAAGCATACCAATAGAATTAAATTAAAGAAACCATATACATAGTTTTTTAAAAGAATTTCGAACAAAATTGGTTTGTCGTCTTTTTTCTCATTAATTTAAAAAAAAAATATCCAGTAGACAAATCAATAATTGCTATATCCTGTAATATTTCTTGAATCATGCATTTTAATATATTTTGTTGGGGTAGGGGTTAAAAATTAATAATATGTAATTGTACATGCCTAAATATACAGTCAGTTAATATGACTGTTTTGTATGATATACTTCCTGACAATTGTCTGTGAACTGGCTTTGAGTTTTGAAATGTCAGATATTTGTAGGGATGTAAACATCCTAAAAAATTCATCATATTATTTTATGACTTAATTAAAAAAAAATCCCCTTCATTCTAATGATTTTGTTTTCTAATTTTATTTTATAAAGTGAATTTTACAGAGTATGAATTCCATTCTGTTCCCGTGCCAGAATCTTTGATATGCTAAGCCTTGTAAAGCCTTACATGTTACGGAAATATAAAAGACACCCCCATCCACTGCTCTGCAGCCAAAATAAAACAAAATGCAAGCATGCTGTAGCGGTTTTATATCGTTTATTTTCAGCATTAAATTTTATTCTATGTCAGCATTTACATGAAGAAATAAAACCCGGCCCTGAACTTATAAAGGATTTTTTGTCAATCAAATCAAATAAAATCCTAATATGTGCTTATACATGTACATGTATAATGATATGTATCCATAATTTGATGACAGGTTAAACAATATACCCCCACACTGATAACTGTAATGAGATAATAAGTCTAGTAATGAAATGGGTTTTTAGCATGACAATTGATCTGTTAAGAAACATTCAATGCTGATCGAGATTTTGTGAAAGACAAAGTCCTTCATGGCTTCAGGGATTAATTTGCAGATAATGCTTAAAACATTTGAACTCTGTATAAAAAAAACAACACGTAAGTACCAAAGAGTTACATGTATATTAAATTTGGAGATCTTGAAAATAAATTACCATACATGTAGTTTAGATAACAAAAAAGATTATTTCTTTCATTTTACAGTATTTTATCACATGTATTTTGTTTGTTTTGAAAACTCATCTTTTTCAATAGAGTTTCACATTTCTCAATATAAGATAAATGGATTCAATATAAATATTTTTATCTATACCCTCCATCCTCTCTCTCTCTCTCTCTTTTGCCCCCCCCCCTTCTCATCAGATTTACTTGACCAGATCTAGCTATTTAAGTTAGATCATTTAGAACATTTTTTTTTCATTTGGATGTTTTTGCTTGTTTTAATACCGGTAACTCTAAATTGAAGTGTCTTAGTGTAACAAGAAAATAATTAAGACAAAACAACATTTATAAAGTTTAATTTATTTAATCATGATTCATGATACGGTAGATAATATACATGTATAATATTATTTAAAAAAAAAATGAAATTCGTTATTAAATTATTTTATGTTAAAAAAAAGCAATGGATGAGAGATTTGAAAAATAAATTTGAAAGTGCGTTTTGTTCAATACTAGAGTTTTCCTTTTTTTCTTTGTTTTTCCTTATCTACATTAACGGGACCTTGTTCCCAAGTACAGCAATATTTTTTATTTAAAAAATCATAAGTATGTTGACAATTAAAAGTTTTTTTATTTGGCCATAAAGATCTCTTTTATAATCCGGGAGCAAAAGTCCCTCTCTGGTACCCATGTTACATCGAGTGTTGACATCAGAGTTATCTCTCCTATATTTTATTTATAGAAAATGCAAACATCTTTACGTTGCTCTTACACATTTTTTGCTAAATTTGTAAAATGTAGAAGATGTATGTTTAGTTTCAACATTAGTACAAACAATTTAACAAAAGTTTAAGCAGTATGCACCGATGGATCAAGATTGCATGTGATCGACGCGATCGCGATGTGTATATTGAGAATGGTGGAGCGGATCTCAAATTTCCTTTGCTATATTTTAACAATATACCCCTGTCTAACATGTATCATAAACGGTTAATCTGGTATAAATATGTATTTAAAATTTATTTATCTAGAGTATACAGTTTTATTATCCTATCAGAAAAAAACACCTTGTCTATGTAGCTTCGATCTATAAGTTATGCATGTAGGAAAACTATTGGTATTTGAGACGTATTCATATAAAAGATATGTTTGTTAAGAAACCAGTTCTAAATGTTTTTTATTTATACCTATCAAGTCGGTGGATTAGGAGATTCGGGTATTGATTAAATTAATTTATACATGAAAATAAATTCCACATCTTGGAAACAGCGATAAAAGCGTCAAACGTCAAAACACGTGGTGAAAAAAATCTGCGTCGAAGTTCACCGTCAGTCTGCAACGTCACGTCTTTATGACGTTATTTCTCTGTTTTAGCAAAAATGCCATAAGGCCCTTTTGTCATGGGCGCAATCATATTTAGGTCTTACTAGTAATGTGATGATTTGTTTTATTCATATTATTAATCTTTTGTATTTCAATTGAGTATGACTATGGGATGTTCCGCCTGACTTGTTAATACGTACATGCAGTGCACACAGCGTGTGTAACCAGACAATAGAGTGTGCTTATCTCTACTTGACATCTTATTCCACCCCTAAATTTCATACACTGTAAGATGGTTTGCCCGTATTTTATATCCACTTCACAATTTGTATATGTGTTTATAGATATTTTTAGACGATTAATGTTCAATACCTTTGTAATGTAATTGTTTTAATTGTTTTTCTATTTAAAAAAAATAGGGAACAATTTCCGACTATGAACTGTGTTATAAATATTATTAATGATTTCGTTATTTAATTTTCTTACAACCTAGTTAAGAGAGAGGGAGAGAAAATTTAAAAATTCTCTTAAACACATATCGTCATTTCACAACAATTATAAATTAACGCAACATGCAAAAAGTTTTCAGAAAGTCTTGATTCCAAAATGAGAATTTTGGATACCGTGAGAAGAGTTTCGATGGCAGAACTATGATAAAATAAATTGTGTGAAAAAAAGCTATGAATAATCATTATTTCTGTAATTCACCAATGGTCAGACTTGAATAAACCCTAGAGAATATAGAGGAAAAAACACTATGTGTCGCAGCCCCTTGTCGGGGATATTTCAAATGTAAAGCATACATTTATCACTACAATTACAATACATAATTCAATAAGTAGCGATCACAATTTACAAGTCTCAAATTATTTTTTATCTCATCTTTATTACCCTCCATAAATGCTCTGTACACGCAATGAATATTAAAACGAAACTAGATTTTTGTTTATCGTTTTAAAGTCATAATTTCAGAGACAATATTTTAAAATAGATTCCTTGTCATCTACTTACCACGGTAACGCTCCTTTACCTGTCTCTAAATATATCTTCTACACTTGTTTCCCATCCTGTAACAGTTAGGTGTTTCCTATATCATCCATGGCGTCGATGACCTCCACCTTATTTTTAGATATCTGATTTACCTGTGTATGGTGCACACTGAGGTGAAAAAATCACGTGATCTTATTCTTAATATGATAATAAATATATCAGTAGTCATTTCCTTTATAATAAAACTTAAAACAAATCCTTGACAAAGTCTATATTTCACTGTATTTGAGATGGAATAAAAGTATTAATATAAAAAGTACGTCCTATAGTTACTAATATTTTTATCTGGAGAAAACAATTCAAAGTAACACAAAATATTCAGAACTCAGAATAATTTTAATGCTGTAACCTTATTTTTTTAAAGACAAAATTCAATATCAGCTATTTTTTCTATATGTTTTGTCTCTTCATTCTTGGTCTATAATTATAAAATAATTGTAAAATTCGGGTAAATTAACAACCAACATCAGTTCTGTGGAGCTTTTTTCGGACTTCATTATGAGAAACATAGAGAGCAATAGTAAAGTTAGCGTATTATCGTAATTTTAAAGTCCTCTATCGATTTCACTTTCTTTGAGAAAAATTGAAAAGTCAGTCAAAATAAAGCATCTTAAAACTTAAAAAAATAAACACATCTCTAAATTAAATCGTTTAGTTACTGTTAATCATGTTTTGATACCAGATTTAGTTTATTTGGCTGGATTTAAGGTACTTTTTTTAAGGTAATATTACATCTAAAAAAACCTGATTATCGGAAAAATAGTAACATGTAGTATTGCAAGACAAAAATATCTTTTAATGCTAAATTTATAGTATTTTTGTAGCATAGATATATAAAGAGATGTTGTGTGTAAAAAAAAAAAAAAAGGGGAGAAAAATCAATTACGGTCGATCTACGAAATTTGCAATCAATATGCATTGTGAACAGGTATAATTCAAAGACCCCTTTAATTTACAGGGGTTGGATTATCTGTTAGGAATGAAGATTTGCTTTCAGCCGAAAAAACTCACTGGAGAACTTTAATATATAACACTTAGTTTTAAATATCTAAATCATTCGAGAACTTTAATACCGGGTACATTGTATCTAACACTGAATGTGAAATATGTTTGTCTAAATATCAGAACTTTCAATGATGTTTCTAGTTTCTTGATAATAAGATTATCTACATGATTTTAGAATTTACGAAATAATGATTTCAACGAGGATGTTGAAATAACTGAAATTCCCGGATATATATTTTCCAGGTTGTATATTTTAACATCAATACATGCCTACCCTCGCCACATAGAATATTTTACATTTGTGCATACATGTACAAACTTGGAACACAAAATCAGAAAAATAATTTGTTTCATAATAATTGGAAATATTTTTTTAACAAAATAATGACACTTTTACTGGGCGACAAGAATAGACATTGATCAGATTATGGTAATGCGATCCACAGTCAAGAAGGATAACTATTTAATTTATTCGAGGGTAAAAAGATCGTGGACAACTGCCATATCGTTTTTATGTGACGTCATACATGTATGTTATCCAAATTTGGTAAAAACACTTTAACATTTGTATAAAAATTTTTCCAAAATATTACGACTTATTCAAAACTTTCTAGATTTTGAAAAAGCAAAAATCGGATCACAGAGCAGGTAAAATTTTAGTAAGTTACAAAAATAACACTAGATATTGTCTGTTGTCATATTCTCTGTAGAATGGAGCAAAAACGAAAAACAACCTTAAAGTTCAATTCAGAGTTGTTACATTGATTCGTAAACCAAGTTATGACTTTATATTTTGCTTTGATGAAAATAAATCAACTTGAGATGAGATGACAGGTAACCCTTATTCAAAACGACAAAAACGATGAGGCCACAGAGCAGCAGATTGTGTTTTATTCAGGAAAAATCCTGAATAAACCCATTAAATGTTGAAGGAATAAAGAAATATGTCCCAAAGGAGTTGTGCATGCGTGTACAACTAGTGCAGGCGGTATTTGAATGACAGATATTCTGCATCGGATGAGGAGAATCTGTGAAGATACGGTTTAACTGTAAAAATCTGAACAAAACCTTTAAAAGATGGAACGTCAAGGAAAGACATACGCGCTTCAGAGTTGCTTATCCTGTGAAAGCAGAGATAGGTTATTAAAGAAGTTAAACCTTGAGAAAGGAAATTATAAAACGAGGGCAATTCTTTAAATATATATGTCAAATATTATAAAAAGGATTTAATGAATGGGCGTTGGATTATACTGTGTGAAATATATAGGAATAGTTTATTTTTAAGAAATTCTCGCTATATTTTGACGTTACATTGCCATTAAGTGTAATGGCACTTACCGCGGGTACAAAACATGATTATTTTAAAATGAAGTAAATTGATTTCTATTCAATCGAATGGAATGAAACTTCACACTCCAAAAACAAATATTTTTACATAATATAATGTGCTTGTATTAATTTTCTAGCGAGGAATACATGTAAAAAGAAGATTGACATCGTCTACGATCTTTCCGAACAACCCTCGTAATTTAATTCAAAAAGGTTTCAAATTGAAGCTTGAAATTTTAATATTTCCATGCAACAATTTTCATTATATACCTTTTTATTTGCTTCAGGTTTCTTTGAAATTCTAACAAAGGAGTTATAAAATGTCAAAATTTTTACCCCATAAAATTATTTTGAAATTACATATTCAAAGAAATTTAGGTTCTTTTAATCTTATTATAGGTACATATATCAATGTTTATTGATATGGTATGAAGTTAGAAATGATTTATGGTGTTTTGCAAACTATAGAAAAACTCTATATATTATGCATTGTAAAATGATCGAAATAAATAGAAAAAACCTATTTTTTACCTTATATGGATAAAAATTTCTTCAGAAGCCTGGATATACCTATGATTTTTATTCTTAAAGTGTGTTAATTGATCAAATTTGAATTGGATAATGCATAGTAAATGTTTTTTTAATCGCATGTACTAAAAATGCATTTGAGAAATTCTCATTGTTCGTACATGTATATAAAGCGATTAACTTTAAAGATAAAATATAAAGAATTATCGTTGGTAAAAACACATTTAATTTGAGAATTTGGGGACATTTTTGTTGAACATTTTCAATAAGTGATATATTTACCAATCACTAGTACTTAATTGTAATCTATTTCTGGCAATTAAATTAGAAAAACGCAAACAAGATTTTAGTGCATGATAAATTAAAAATTTTAATTTAATCATTGAAAATGTGACAGAGATTGTGCATTTTTAAATGTTATTACACATTCTTCTAGTTCCCTACAGCACATTTTAAGATGATTCCATCTGTTCAAGTATTTCATTGTATATACATGTAAAGGACTTTTGCGAGAAGCGCTGACTTTTACAGATGACGGTTCACTTGGACATTTAAACCTCTACCGAGGAACAGAATTGATATTAGATAAGGAAATCTTTGTAGTGGTCATAGTTGTTAGGGGTGTTAACAAGTGAAGGTCCGGAGTTAAGGGTAAGGTGGTTGTCGGTTTCTTCAAGGGCAACTTATTTTTGCATTGAACTAACCAATTATTTTCGCTTACATTAATGTCGCAATAAATATCTATATCGTAAAAGAGCTTGCGTACATTGTCCTAGTGTAAAAGTAAGCCGTCAACTGTAAAAGTCAGCTCTTGTCGTAAAAGTCAACCAGTAACCTTTAATAGTTCAATTACAAATACATCCAGCATTTATTGAAACCGAAAAAGAAAGTTGTTATGTTATCTGTTTGCCAAGATTAAATCTTACTCGGTCTTATCTAATTCTTATCCCAATATAAAAGACTAGTATATACCTCTAGAGAATCCCTCTATTCCTTTTGTTTCGTACCAATATCTGTCCCCAAACCTTAGTTCCTTGAATTGCCACCCTAATAAACATTCCAAAAGAGGACCTACTACTGCTTCTGCGCGAGTTGTCTCTGAAATACCTCCAACAAAAACATCAATATCGTCAACGTGGCTGTAAAATGAACCGCCATTTATATACATTTTACGAACAATATATTATAAGATCTTGAGTTGAATAGAAATAACCGTGTGGTTAATTTTTTTTTTGAATTCGTAGCTATATTTAAGATTCTAACTCGTATATTATCATTCACTTTTACACTTAACAATTAGATTTGACTAAATATCGTTAAAGATGTAATTACACACTTACTCATACCGGAAATTAACTCAACTTTCTCCAATCGTTGTAGGCGGACAAACCGTGATAGCGCCCTCTTTGAATGTTGAATGACATTAGGTCAAAGGTTACCCCATTAACATCAGGATATAATTTATTTACAGTGGCATTTTCAATTTGTCTGAAATAGGTTAGAAAAACAATTGACTCTAGATGTTATTTTTCTGACTTATCCTTATTGTGGAAATGTTGCAGAATTTTGAACTCAAATACGATCTAAATAAAGGATATGTTGAGTCTAATATCTCATTAAGGTTGCCAATCTATGTTATCTTTTCATTATGATAATTGATATGTTAAATTTCTTAATATTGTTTTATCATTTTGGCTTTAAAAGAACTCGGTCCATGTTATGCAAAAAATGGCCCTGTAGATATACCAATTGATTGACTAAAACTCAATGTTCCATAAGAAACATTCAAATAAAATAGAAACGATGTGCTTTCATTCCCTATTAAAGATTTTCTCCACTAAGTCCAGGTCTTGGAGAACTGGTTTTTTGAAATTGCAATGTTCGTGAATTTTATGGTAAATAGGTATATATGAGTACTTTCAATGAAGAAAAATAATATGAGCGTACTCTCTGATCTAAGAAACAAAACATGCATTTTAATCCTCTGAAACAGTTCTATCATTTACTAGTTGCTTATTTTAGATCAGATGTTGCGCTCTATATTTAAAACGAAAAATAGCTTTAAAAAATTGCCGTTTTGCGGACTTTTTCAGAATATGAGGAATTTAACGCATTTTGTAACGTCATAATGCTTTGACTAGCTAGAAAATTACATCATTTTTGATAGATACCCAATCGCAAAAGATCTAAGTGATACTCAATACATTGCTAATTAAAACTAAG